GGGGGAGATGAGACCCCAGGATTTGGGACCTGGGGGGATTTGGGGTTCAGGGTTTGGGGTTCAGGATGATTTAGGGGTTCAGGATTTTGGGGTTCAGGGTGCTTTTTTGGGGCGTCCCCCCAGGGCGCTGTCGGAGGCCGGGCAGGAGCGCGAGCGGCGGCGCCGGGGGCAGGAGCTGGCCAAGCTGCGGGAATGGCGGCGGGACGAGGAGCGGCGCCGCGCGGCCGAGGAGCGGCGCCGGGACAGGGCCGAGGAGCGCGCCGCGCGGTGAGGAGGGGACGGGCCCCGGGGATCTCTCCAAATAAAACCCCAAAACTGCGGGGGAACCCCAAAATTTCCACCCCAAAAAAAAAAAAAAAAAAAAAAACAAACCCCCAAAGGAGCTGCCCGTGCTGAGTCCTCCGAGCCGCCAGGGGGCGCCACAACCGCGGGAAGCGCCCTCACGAACCCCTCAGAACCCCGGGCCCCCAAAAACATGGGGAACCCCAAAATCCCAAAAACCCCGGAATTTTTTCCCATTAAATTTTGTGGGAAAGGGCTTTGCACACTGAGTCCTCCGAGCCGCCAGGGGGCGCCACAACCGCGGGAAGCGCCCTCACGAACCCCTCAGAACCCCGGGCCCCCAAAAACATGGGGAACCCCAAAATCCCAAAAACCCCCGGAATTTTTTCCCATTAAATTTACTGGGAAGGGGCTTTGCATGCCGAGTCCTCCGAGCCGCCAGGGGGCGCTACAACCGCGGGAAGCGCCCTCACGAACCCCTCAGAACCCCGGGCCCCCAACACCTTGGGGAACGCCAAAATCCCAACACCAAACCCTCCCTGGGAACCCCAGAACCTCCCAGGAGACCCCAAAACATTTTAGGAAATCCCAAAAAACCCCGGAATTTTTTCCCATTAAATTTACTGGGAAGGGGCTTTGCATGCCGAGTCCTCCGAGCCGCCAGGGGGCGCCACAACCGCGGGAAGCGCCCTCACGGATGATGGCGGCGCCGAGGAGATTTTGGGGGGCTAAAAGCCCCTCAGGATCTCCTCAAATTGTAGGAACCCCCCCGAATTCCCACCCTAAAACCTTTCGGGACCCTCCCCAAGTCCCCAGACCCCCAAACCTGAGGGTGCAGCCCCAAACCTGAGGGGGTTTTTTCCAGATCCCCTTCCTCAGATTACCAGAGCCCTCCCAGCGGGGATTTTGGGATTTTTTAGGGATCCCAAAACTTTTGGGGAACCCTGAAAATTTTGGGATTTTCCCCCCCCCCCCGTGTTCCCACAGGCAGAGAGTGCGGGAGAAGATTGAGAGGGACAAGGCGGAGCGAGCGCAGAGGGTGAGCGGGACCCCAAAAGTTTGGGGGGTCCCAGAGGATTGGGGGGGATCCCAAAAGGTTTGGAGGGATCCCAAATAATTGGGGGAGGGGGTCTCAAGGGATTTTGGGGATCCCAAAGGTTTGGGGGGGGTCCCAAAGGATTTGGGGGATCCCAAAGGACTGGGGGGGGTCTCAATTCCCCCCCCCCCCCGTGTTCCCACAGGCAGAGAGTGCGGGAGAAGATTGAGAGGGACAAGGCGGAGCGAGCGCAGAGGGTGAGCGGGACCCCAAAAGTTTGGGGGGTCCCAGAGGATTGGGGGGGATCCCAAAAGGTTTGGAGGGATCCCAAATAATTGGGGGAGGGGGTCTCAAGGGATTTTGGGGATCCCAAAGGTTTGGGGGGGGGTCCCAAAGGATTTGGGGGATCCCAAAGGACTGGGGGGGGTCTCAAAGGATTAGGGCGGGGCAGTTTTGGGTTGATTTCTGTCGATTTGGGCGGTTTCGGCCCCGGCAGGTGCGGCTCCCCGACGGCCGCGCTCTCACGCAGAGTTTCCGCGCGCGGGAGCCGCTGGCGGCCGTGCGCCTCTTCGTGGAGCTGCACCGGGGCCCGGGGGGCTCGGGGGGCCCGGGGTGAGGGGTCCCTGGGTGGGTTTTGGGGGTCCCTGGGTGGGTTTTGGGGGGTCCTGACCTCTCCCCCTCCCCAGGTCTGGTTCCCTCCGCCGTCGTCATCGTGGCCAAGAAGGAGGGGAGCTGAGGGGGGCACCCCGAAAACCCCAAACCCCAAAAATAAACCCAAAAACCCCAAAATCTCCACGTCTGTCCCTGCCGTGCCCCCCCCACGGCACTCTGGGGGTCCCGGTGCCGTTTTTGGGGGTTCAGAGGCCATTTTTGGGGATCCCGATGCAGTTTTTGGGGGTCCCAATGACTTTATTGGGGGTCCCGGTGCCATTTATGGGGGTTCCCGGGACCGTTTTCGGAGGTCCCGATGCCGTTTTTGGGGGTCCCGGTGGGGGTCCCTGGGGGTGCTTGGGGGCCCCTGGGGGGGTTTGAGGGGGTCTCTAGGAGAGTTTGAGGGGTCCCTGGGGGGGTTGAGGGATCCCTGGGGGGATTTGAGGGGTCCTTGGGGGTCCCTGGGGGGGTTGCTGGGGGGTTTGAGGGGTCCCTGGGTGGGTTTTGGGGGTCCCTGGGTGGGTTTTGGGGGGTCCTGACCTCTCCCCCTCCCCAGGTCTGGTTCCCTCCGCCGTCGTCATCGTGGCCAAGAAGGAGGGGAGCTGAGGGGGGCACCCCGAAAACCCCAAACCCCAAAAATAAACCCAAAAACCCCAAAATCTCCACGTCTGTCCCTGCCGTGCCCCCCCCACGGCACTCTGGGGGTCCCGGTGCCGTTTTTGGGGGTTCAGAGGCCATTTTTGGGGATCCCGATGCAGTTTTTGGGGGTCCCAATGACTTTATTGGGGGTCCCGGTGCCATTTATGGGGGTTCCCGGGACCGTTTTCGGAGGTCCCGATGCCGTTTTTGGGGGTCCCGGGGCCGTTTTTGGGGGTCCCGGGGCCGTTTTTGATGTCCCGGGGCCTTTATTGGGGTCCCGGTGCTGTTTTTGGGGGTCCTGATGACTTTATTTGGGTTCCCGGTGCCATTTTTTGGGGTCCCGGCGCCATTTTCGGGGGTCCTGGCGCCATTTTTGGCAGTCCCGGTGCCGTTTTCGGGGGTCCCGGTGCCATTTTCGGGGGTCCCGGGTCCATTTTTGGCAGTCCCGGGTCCATTTTCGGGGTCCCGGGGCCGTTTTCGGGGGTCCCGGGTCCATTTGCGGGGTCCCGGTGCCGTTTCGGGGCCCCCTCAGGGCTCCCGGCGCTGCCGGCGCCCCACGGGGTCGGCGAGGATGACGATGGCCCAGCCGGCCAGACCTGGGGGGACACCGGGGTCACCTGGGGGGGTCACCGGGGCCCTGCCCCGCCCTCGCTGCCATGGCAACCGCGGCTCCTCCCCCTCGCCATTTTGGGCCGGCGCCATTTTCGGGGGTCCTGGCGCCATTTTTGGCAGTCCCGGTGCCGTTTTCGGGGGTCCCGGTGCCATTTTCGGGGGTCCCGGGTCCATTTTCGGGGTCCCGGTGCCGTTTCGGGGCCCCCTCAGGGCTCCCGGCGCTGCCGGCGCCCCACGGGGTCGGCGAGGATGACGATGGCCCAGCCGGCCAGACCTGGGGGGACACCGGGGTCACCTGGGGGGGTCACCGGGGCCCTGCCCCGCCCTCGCTGCCATGGCAACCGCGGCTCCTCCCCCTCGCCATTTTGGGCACATTTTGAGGGGATTTTGTGAAGGATTCAAAAGAATTTCTTTGGCCGCCCTCCGCCAGCCCCGCCCTCGTTTCCATAGAAACCCGCGGGTTTCCCGCCAAAACCGAGACCACGCCCCCTTTCCCCGCCCCGCCCCTCACCGGCGGCGAAGGTGATCTGGGCGATGGCGCCCATGGAGGGCGGGATCCCCTTTTTCATGACGTTCCGCGGCCCCTGGTACACCCAGACGGCGGCCATCAGCAGCCCCGCGCCGCTCAGCAGGCGGCAGCTCCAGCAGCCGCCGAACAGCGGCCGCGGCGAGGCCGGACCGGGCCCCGCCACCGCCGCCGCGTCCGCCGCGGCCTCCGCGCCCCGCGGCGACATGGCGGAACCGGAAGAGACGCCGGAAGTGTCCGTGGTTTATAGCAGTCCGGACGCACCCGCGCAAAAAGAGTTCCGTGCGCAACCGCGCCCAGCGCTGATGGTTCCGCGGGAAAGGGCGGGTCACGGGGAACCGGCGGGTGAGGGGGGGGGCTCCCGGTGCTGACGTCACTTCCGCCACGGCACCCCGCGATGCGCCACGTTGTCGTCGGTCTCGGCCATTTTCGGGGGTCCCGGGTCCATTTTCGGGGTCCCGGTGCCGTTTCGGGGCCCCCTCAGGGCTCCCGGCGCTGCCGGCGCCCCACGGGGTCGGCGAGGATGACGATGGCCCAGCCGGCCAGACCTGGGGGGACACCGGGGTCACCTGGGGGGGTCACCGGGGCCCTGCCCCGCCCTCGCTGCCATGGCAACCGCGGCTCCTCCCCCTCGCCATTTTGGGCACATTTGGAGGGGATTTTGTGAAGGATTCAAAAGAATTTCTTTGGCCGCCCTCCGCCAGCCCCGCCCTCGTTTCCATAGAAACCCGCGGGTTTCCCGCCAAAACCGAGACCACGCCCCCTTTCCCCGCCCCGCCCCTCACCGGCGGCGAAGGTGATCTGGGCGATGGCGCCCATGGAGGGCGGGATCCCCTTTTTCATGACGTTCCGCGGCCCCTGGTACACCCAGACGGCGGCCATCAGCAGCCCCGCGCCGCTCAGCAGGCGGCAGCTCCAGCAGCCGCCGAACAGCGGCCGCGGCGAGGCCGGACCGGGCCCCGCCACCGCCGCCGCGTCCGCCGCGGCCTCCGCGCCCCGCGGCGACATGGCGGAACCGGAAGAGACGCCGGAAGTGTCCGTGGTTTATAGCAGTCCGGACGCACCCGCGCAAAAAGAGTTCCGTGCGCAACCGCGCCCAGCGCTGATGGTTCCGCGGGAAAGGGCGGGTCACGGGGAACCGGCGGGTGGAGGGGGGGGCTCCCGGTGCTGACGTCACTTCCGCCACGGCACCCCGCGATGCGCCACGTTGTCGTCGGTCTCGGCCGCCTCGCGCAGCGCCGCCATGATCAGCTCGTTGTGGCGCCGCCGCTGCGCCAAAGCCGCGTCCGCGCCGGGCTGGCCCTGCCGAACCGGGAACAGCGGCGCGGTCACCGCCGGCTCCGCTCCCCGAGGCGTCCCCGCCGCCCCCTTCTCTTGTCCCCGTACCTTCAGCGTCTGCTGCCGCTCGTGCTCGCCGCCCGCGATCGCCACCCACAGCAGCAGCCCCAGCGCAACCGGGACGGCGCCGCGGGCGAGCGCCAGTGGCCACCGCCGGTCCAGCGCCATCGCCGCCTCCCCGCCACTTCCGGGGCCGCGCTGGCCCGCCGGGAGCATAGAGAGAGCGGCTGGGAGGACCGGAAATGCCCTCCGGCACACGGAGATCATAGAGACGGCGGCTGGAGGACCGGAAATGCCCCCCCCGCCCTGCCGAGATCATAGAGACGCTGCTGAGAACACCGGAAATCATAGAGACGGCGGCTGGAGGACTGGAAATCCCCCTGCTCTGCAAGGATCATAGAGATGGCGCCCGGGAGGGGCGGAAATCCGCTCCGCCACGTGGGGATCATAGAGACGGCGGCTGGGAGGACCCGGAGACCTCCTCCCCTCACGGCCGCATCCCCTCACCGTCGGGAACGGGGTCACCGAGCGGCTCCAGCGGCGGTCAGGGAACCGGGGATCCCCCCCCTCACCCCGGGACGCGCTCCTACCGAGAGCACACACGAGACCAAAGCGGTTCAGAGCAGTTTATTAACAATTTAAATTACAAATTCATCCGTCCGTCCTCGGCGCCGTCGCGCGGCCTTCCCGGTCCTTCAGCGGGCCCTGCAGAGGAGAAAATGGCGGTGAAGCGGCGGCCCCGAGCGCTCCGGAGCTGCCGGAGGAGCCGCGGCCGGGCCTTGTCCCGGCGTGTGAGGGTGGGACCGGCGGACGCCACCGCCGGCACCGAAGACATCGCGCCGGTCGCTGCTTTCCCTCCGCACATCACAGAGCCCGGCACGGCGCCGCCGGGGCCCGCCAAGAACGGGAGGAGCCGCCCGGTTCCCCCCGCCCGCCCGGTTTTAGGATAAAACCCACCCAAAACCCCGAACCCCAAAACCAGCCCGGAGCTCACCCAGCACCCAAAGAGCGCCCTGAGGGGCGGCGGCCATTTTATATACGCCGGGGTGTAGGCGGGGCTTGGGAGGATTCCACCAATCAACGGGAGGGGGGGGCTCCCGGTGCTGACGTCACTTCCGCCACGGCACCCCGCGATGCGCCACGTTGTCGTCGGTCTCGGCCGCCTCGCGCAGCGCCGCCATGATCAGCTCGTTGTGGCGCCGCCGCTGCGCCAAAGCCGCGTCCGCGCCGGGCTGGCCCTGCCGAACCGGGAACAGCGGCGCGGTCACCGCCGGCTCCGCTCCCCGAGGCGTCCCCGCCGCCCCCTTCTCTTGTCCCCGTACCTTCAGCGTCTGCTGCCGCTCGTGCTCGCCGCCCGCGATCGCCACCCACAGCAGCAGCCCCAGCGCAACCGGGACGGCGCCGCGGGCGAGCGCCAGTGGCCACCGCCGGTCCAGCGCCATCGCCGCCTCCCCGCCACTTCCGGGGCCGCGCTGGCCCGCCGGGAGCATAGAGAGAGCGGCTGGGAGGACCGGAAATGCCCTCCGGCACACGGAGATCATAGAGACGGCGGCTGGGAGGACCGGAAATGCCCCCCCCCGCCCTGCCGAGATCATAGAGACGCTGCTGAGAACACCGGAAATCATAGAGACGGCTGCTGGGAGGACCGGAAATGCCCCCCCCGCCCTGCCGAGATCATAGAGACGCTGCTGAGAACACCGGAAATCATAGAGACGGCGGCTGGAGGACTGGAAATCCCCCTGCTCTGCAAGGATCAGAGATGGCGGCCGGGAGGGGCGGAAATCCGCTCCGCCACGTGGGGATCATAGAGACGGCGGCTGGGAGGACCCGGAGACCTCCTCCCCTCACGGCCGCATCCCCTCACCGTCGGGAACGGGGTCACCGAGCGGCTCCAGCGGCGGTCAGGGAACCGGGGATCCCCCCCCTCACCCCGGGACGCGCTCCTACCGAGAGCACACACGAGACCAAAGCGGTTCAGAGCAGTTTATTAACAATTTAAATTACAAATTCATCCGTCCGTCCTCGGCGCCGTCGCGCGGCCTTCCCGGTCCTTCAGCGGGCCCTGCAGAGGAGAAAATGGCGGTGAAGCGGCGGCCCCGAGCGCTCCGGAGCTGCCGGAGGAGCCGCGGCCGGGCCTTGTCCCGGCGTGTGAGGGTGGGACCGGCGGACGCCACCGCCGGCACCGAAGACATCGCGCCGGTCGCTGCTTTCCCTCCGCACATCACAGAGCCCGGCACGGCGCCGCCGGGGCCCGCCAAGAACGGGAGGAGCCGCCCGGTTCCCCCCGCCCGCCCGGTTTTAGGATAAAACCCACCCAAAACCCCGAACCCCAAAACCAGCCCGGAGCTCACCCAGCACCCAAAGAGCGCCCTGAGGGGCGGCGGCCATTTTATATACGCCGGGGTGTAGGCGGGGCTTGGGGGGATTCCACCAATCAACGGCGCCGGCGCGTGCCCGCCAGCCAATGAAAACAAATTGACAGAAAAGGAGACGAGCCGAAGGGTGATTTGAATATGGGCGGGGCTCTCGCCGCTGTAGCCAATCAGAGCCCGCTCCGCTCGCTCACGGGCCAATGATATTCGCGGGGGTGCGCAAAGGGGCGGGGTTCAGTGACCGGAAGTGCGGCCGGACCGGAAGTTGGTGCCGGACCGGAAGTGGCGCCGGGCGCGTGGGGGCGATGGGGATCGGCGGCAAAATCAACCGGCCCCGAACGGTGACCGGGGACACCGGGGGGCACCGGGAGGCACCGGGGGGGCTCCGGGAGGGGCCCGGCGGGAGGGAAAGCCCGGGGGGGCGCGGCGGCAGTCCCGATCCTCACCGCGCTGCCGCTGCCCGGTACCGGGGGGCGGCTCCGGTAATGGCGGGACCCCCCCCGGTGACCCCGCCGTGCCCCGCAGGAGCTGCGCAAGAAGCTGTTCAAGCGGCGGCGGGAGCGGGCGCGGGGGCGGCGGCAGAAGCGGCGGTGAGCGCTGTCCCGGTGCCCCCCGGTGTCCCCCCGGCGTCTCCCGGTGGCTCAGGCCGCTCCCGCTGCTCTCCGGTACAGGTCGCTGTCGGTGCCCGCGGTCCGGGCCCCGGTGTGGGGGAAGCGGCTGCGGAAGGAGCTGAAGCGGCTGCGGGGGGCGTCGCGGAGGGGTGAGCGGGGCAGGGGACACCGGGAGGGGGCACCGGGGGCGGCACCGGAGCGCTGAGCCGCCGCCCGGTGCCCGCAGCGCTCACGGCGGCGGCGAGCGAGGCGAAGCGGCCGCGGGAGGAGCCGGGGAGAGCGAGCGGCGACGTGGAGATGGCGGAGTGAGCCCGGGGGTGTCGCCGGGGCCACCGGCTCACCGCGCCGGGCCCTGCCCGGTGCCCCCGGTGCCCGCAATAAACGCTTTTTGTCCTGTCTCGGTTCCCGTCTCTGTCCCTTGCGGGGGGAGGTGACAATCTCTGACGGGGGACACATTTCACCGTGACACCGCGAGGGGCGGAACCATCGCGCGCAGCCGCGGGGGGGTGGAGGGAACTTCCGGTGCGGCACGCTCTCTGCGCATGCGCAGCCGTCCTTCCCCGTCCCCGCCGCCGCCGCCATGTCGGCGCTGTGCGACCCCCCCGGCGCCGCCAGCCCCCCCCGGCCCCCGCTCAGGTACCGCGGGAGGAGCCCCGGGATGGGGGAGGGAGGGACAGGGGACCCCCCCCCCCGGGGGCTCCCCCCCCCTTTTTAATTCCATTTTTTTCTCGTTTTTAACCCTTTGAAGCCGTTTTAACCCCGTTTAACCCTTTCAGGCCCGGTTTAGTTCCAGGTTAATTCCCCTTTAACTTGAGTTTTTAACCCGTTCTAGCCCCGCTGCCCCCCCCACCCCCTCTGGAACGCGTTTTAACCCATTTTTGTTTCATTTTAACGCTTTTAAACCCATTTGAACCCCATTTTACCCCCTTTAAACCCGTTTTAACCCCTTAAAACCCATTTTAACTCATTTAATTTCATTTTATCCCCATTTTACCCCCTTTAAACCCCCTTTAAACCCATTTTAACCCCTTAAAGCCCATTTTAACCCATTTTATTTCATTTTAACCCCATTTTACCCCCTTTTAAACCCATTTTAACCCCCTTTTAACCCCTTAAAACCCATTTTAACCCATTTTATTTCATTTTAACCCATTTAAACCCCATTTCCCCTCTTTTTACCCCATTTTAACCCCCTTACCCCCATTTTACCCCATTTTCCACTTCACTTTAACCCCATTTCCCCCCCCTTTAACCCTATTTTACCCCATTTTACCCCATTTTAACCCCAATTTTCCCCCTTTTAACCCCATTTTAACCCCATTTTAACCCCATTTTAACCCATTTTCATGCAATTTCTCTCCATTTTACCCCATTTTAATGCAATTTCTCTCCATTTTACCCCCATTTTTCCCCATTTCTCTCCATTTTACCCCCATTTTTCCCCATTTTAACCCAATTTTCCCCCATTTTAACCCCTTTTCCCCCATTTTCTCCCTCCCCACAGCGCCCAGGAGCTCTCCCAGGAGGTGAAGGCCTTCCTCAGCGGGCTGCACCCTTTAAACCTTCCTAACCCATTTTACCCCATCTTAACCCAATTTTAACGCAATCTTACCCCA